AGTGAACCTTTTTAACGAGCATTTCGCTTTTGTAAACCGACAGTTCCCTTGGCAACGAAAATTTTACGGTTTATATTCGATATAAACATTTTCGACAAAATTAAATAAACAATTCGATATAAACTGTGAAATAAAGCCGATCATAAAATGCATATTTATTGTTTATGAAATTATTACGAACGACTATCGTCGATGCATTTTCGAGACGTGTTAATGAGAAAGATACGCCAAGAGAAAACGTTTAATTACTCACAGTGTAACAAATACGAAGCCTTTCGACGTTAATTTCATTTTGTCATTAACGGTGACCTCGAAACGTGGAAATAATGCGGGAAGCGTTTGTTTCTTCTTTCTTCATGGCATTTTGTCGGATCGAAATTCTCGTTATTGAGATTAATCAGCGTGTAATCGACCCGTAAGCACGATACCTTAAACGGATGGGTAAGGCGCGAAATCTGCAGTTTGTGGCACAGCCGTATTACTCTCCACAGACCCGGAGTAGCAAGGTGCGAAATCCATATTTGGCGATGCTTCGATAAATCTGCGCCAAGACAGAAACAAAACCTCGAGATGTCCATTTTTTATTATTATCTGCCACTTTCTTCCCGTTTATTGCACAATTTAGATTCAGTTCGGCTGTGCGTGTGCGGTTTTCGGACGGCTGTTTTAATTGGTTTACCATAAAAGTCAGTCTGTATATGCTGTGGCGAACTTAACAGATCGACAGATGATGCAACAAGTCTCATTTTATTAAATTCCTCCAAACACACATACACAAACAGATATTTTTATAAAAGGATTAATTGAGAGATATATAATTTATCATAATCAATATCTATTTTTTGTTGCACCAAACATAAATTTAGATGCATTGTTGGAATATATAATTTGATTTGATCAAGTCATTTGCTTAAGTCAAAATTTGCCAAAACTTATTAACAAGATATTTGATCTACATCTTAAATTTTAGCAAATCAAAAATATTTTTAGATACAGGCGCGTCTCATTTGTGATGCTCTTTAACGCGTTCCTTTTTTAATGCGATTTAATTTGTAACTTCGCGAAATATATTTCCGCCAAATTCCTACCGCGGGCTAATTATTAATCCATCATTCTCACACTGCTCACAACACCCGCGTGTTTTTTCGTTTCTCGGCCAAGCCGCCTCGCATCCGATTTAATTTGGTCGGCGCGATCTCACCCGAAGCGTGTGATCGCGCTCGATTATGGCCGCGGCACCTGCTTAAGCCGTTTCCACACCGCTTGCGGCAAAAAGTTTCTTATGCTCGACCCGACGGTGATTACGAATGCGATTCGCGTGCACGGCATGGACCGCACTCGCGCGTCCAGCTTCATTGAAATCCGCGAGCCGCCGAAAAGACGTGCTAATGAGCAAGACGCACGGTTGATTATAGAGCGGCACGGGAAACGAGCTGTCCGGTAGAAAGAAGCTCTGCGATGCGCGCTAAGTGGCAAAGAAGTGACCACCTAGCGAGCGAGGTGAGCGGGCAAATCCTTTCCTCTGGGAGGCGAGAGCCGAGTCGATAGGAGATCGACAGATGTCTCATGGGACATGGCGTCCTCATCGATGCACGACGACCGTCAGGAAAGTGTCATAATCTCGAGCTTTCCTCGTACCAGCTGGCTAATTTCCTATGCCGTCGGGAGCACGACGCAAATGACGCTCGGCGGAACGTGTAATGCGGATAACCGGCAACGATAAAGGCTGCGAGAACCTTAGACAGGGACGCTTTAAGCCCTTTGCGGGCCCCCGACGTTTTAATAGAGTATACACTTTTGCGTCGAGAATTATAATGCGATTCATACACCGGCCAAGTGGCAAATTCCTGAAGACATTACTTAGCGGCTTGTTTTCTCTGCCGCTCTAATCAATCGTGCGTCTCGCTGATTAGTACGTTTTTTTTTTGACGGCTCGCGGATTTCAATGAAGCTGTACATGCTAGCACGGTGCACGCGACTCGCATTCGTAATTATCGTCGGATCGAGGATATGGTGTCGACTTTCTGCCGCGGTTATAATCGAGTACGATTATATACTTCAAGTAAGATCGCACTGATAAAATTAAATTGGACGCAACATTGAGAGACGAAAAAACAGGTGAGAGAAGCATTCTTTGTGTGAGAATGATGGATTAATGATTGATCACGGTAGATATTTGCCGGAATATTTATTACATTTATAACATTTTATATTTCGCAGTTGCAAATTAAATCGCATTAAAGAAGGAACGCCTCAAACAACATTACAGATAAAATGTGCTCGAGCTTAAATGCATTCGTTTATTATAAATTTAGGAAATTTCTCGTGGAATTTAAAATATGTATAATAAACGTCGGTCAAATTTTTTGCTGATAATAACAAGTGTTAGCTTAAGAAAATAAATCTTGATGAAATCAAAATATATCCCAGTAATGTATCTAAATATCTATTGTATGGAAAAACATAAAGATACTAATTATGATAAAATATAATATAATTCTCCTAAAAAATTATATCTGAAATTATAAAATTATTTTTTCATGAAATTACTTTCAAAGTTATTCATGTTACATAATATTTATAACTTTTATAGAGAGCATTGTACTTTATTTACAGGAGCGAATATAGATTCCGTAACGAATTTCGAAATAACAAGAACAATTTTTTTATATTCTGCCCAGAACTGGACAGAGGGAACTTTCATAAAATAGCGGCTTTATAGTACAGGAAGTTCCAGGAACGCTACTTGTAGGAAGCCAACTGACCTACCGGTCAATTGTCCATCCAGTATACAATTGAAAGGCGCGCGGCAAACCCTTTTCCCAAGTTTCTCTAATCTATTCGAGCAACGCGGTCAGGCACGGGCTAGCTTCATTCATAAACTCGTGGTGGTGAACAATAGGGTTTTTGCTACGCCTATCCGAGCGCAGTTATCTAGGCAAATCCTCGAGCGAAATACCGGTAGGTTTCATTGAGCCTTAGCCAGAGAGCAATTTCGCAGCGGCATTGACTGCGTCTAAGGCGACACTTGGCAAGTTGAATTGGCAGGAAGCCCGACGCCGCTTAACTCTTCTTTCAATGAGATTATCGCCGGTTACTCGGGTCTCCTCTGCCACTGAGCCCGACTTCATTCGCATTGTCGCGGTCTACCGGCTACGACACGACAATTCATGAGCCATTCGGCGGGGGCGGAACGCGAGACTATCAAAAAGTTCAAGCCGAAAAGAGCTGAGTGTTTGAAGTGGATGATCGATAGCGGTTGCCGGAACTATAAGAACGAGGCTTTTGTGCAGATCGCGCTACTTTGTCGTCAATTATTGTCGTTGATTGCAATTAGCGCGTTTCGTGTCCGTTGTATTCCACTAAAAGAGCTAATTAGCAGCGAGTATTACCGATGCCGTCGAATAATCGAATGCACCCTGTAATTGTTATACGAGTCCTCTTCGGAATTTTTTGTAGTGGTCTCACTACGGCGCTTCGCGTAGCGGTTTTCGCGATCTGTTGCCACGCACGTGCTTTTGATTATTCGTCATTAACGTACTTTCAAGAGTTCTAACGATGAGCTGTCTCTATATGCCAAAGGTTGCACGTGAGAAGGTTCTAATAGAGACTGCCAAGTCGAACTAGCTGACAGCCATTTACCACGAGCTCTCTCGCGTTTAGCACGTTTAGCACCGGTCAACTGACCGCGTAATCATCGCCGTATGAGCTGGAATAATGCCAGGAACGCGCAAAGCCTAAGTAAATTAGTCGTGCATGTTGCCCGATACCTTTATTTTTCTCTCGCTTGCTTTTCGTTGAGCGCAGGCGCTTTAATGGTTCGCCATTTACGGACGCCGGGAACAATGCCCCCTCCGATGTATCGATTTTCGCCGGTTCCGACAGTATCTTATTTGGCGTATCTTCTCGGTGAGTTGACACGATACATTTAAAATTCAAATGCATTCGTTGTTCACAAATATTCATCAAATCCCACCTACAAAAATTATCACGGGTTATTATCCCATGTCCTGTTACGTACGCGCGGGAGGAGTGTCTTTCCATGTGTGTGAAATAATTTATACATCGCGCACTAGGAGAATATTATCTCGACGATATTCTAAAGTCCGTCATTAGTCAACGCCAATAATTTTGTTAAAAATCTACGATGTGTCTATGACACACATGTGCACTTCGCACGCGAGCCGGTTTAAAATCGCGCGAGACCGAATTTGAATATAATCTCTTCGTTTTGACAACCGCACCGTATTCCGGACAACGTATTATCATAAATATCGTTCCCGGTGCGCGATTTTCCTGGTGACAAATGTGCTGGGCGGTCGCGATTAATTTATTTAATGCGGATTCTGAGAAGAGCAATACGTACACACGGTGGGACATGTTAACGAGCGACGCGTCGTCGATAGCATCGAACACGGTTTCGCGAGCATTCACGAATTATAATTGGCCCGTAATTAATGACATCGTCGTTATTGACAGCTGGAAGCCGTGCGCGCGTCGCCGCGCGCTAACGCGAGTTACTCGCCTCGGCCGCGCCCCTTGATCCCATTTCGGGCTCCGCTTATTTTTAGGCTTAATTGCCCCAACGTGTTACGGCATAATCACCGTCACGGTACGAACCTGATCGTGAGATATCGCGCGGCAATTGCGAATGTTTACGATCGTGCCCGCGCCTTTGAGATCGGATTGCCGAGTAATTTTATGAAGAACCGGTGCACGCAAGATAAATAATTTGGAAAGAATTTAATGATATCACTGTGACGTAATGTCTCATTATATCCAAGTGTTGCGAGAATCGAAACTGGTGTTCGCACTACTTAAAGCTTGCGCAACGCGGAGTGTATTCGATCTGATTTTTATTAACTTTGTTCTTTCGTTTAAATAATTTGCGTGCACAGTTCTATGCACAAACGATCATATAATAAAAGATGTAACCTGAATTTTGTATCACATTTATTGATGATTTATAGGATTTTTGCGGTCAAATATGTGGATTACGGACGCTTGCATGGAAAAGATTTATTTTTCAAAAAAGCGCGATACACGTTACAGTGCGTATCGACGAGGGACAACGATTATAACTATTGTATATATAGTGTACACTCGCCTAAAATCGATTGATATCAGTAAATAACTTAGTAAATTCCGTTAATATCACAACACATTATTTCCTCACTTGATCTCGTACGCGCCGAGGTTCCCCTTACGCCTCTTCGAAGAGAGCCAGCCCGCTGTGTAGTTCATCTGATCGAGAGATCGCTTCACGTTTGCTCGATACTCGTCTTCGTAAGCGTTGAGATACAAGTTCTTGAGGAATATTTGATTATCCAGCTCGGAAAGTGGCAGGAATCGTTTCGAGCGGCTCTGCTGTTGCGCCTGCAGCTCGTCGAAAGTGAATTGTTTTGATTTGGCATCGTCGGCAGACTTTCTTGAATTCTTTTGATCGCTGTTGGCCAGCGACTTTATGGACAGAAGCTTCCTCTTTTGTCGCGGCGAGCCAGCATCCTCCGAGGCATTTCGTATCCGCTTACTACGGTGCTTCGGCGTCCCTTCTTTGGCCGGAATCTCGTTGTCCAGCACGGCGGCATCATTACTCGGGATTGTCGATGATTGATTATTGTATGACTCGACCTCTTTCGGCACCGGTGTCGTGCTGGTTTCTACGTCTACGCTCTCTTCCGTCGAGTTCAATCGATTCTGTATGATATGTTTGAAAAACGCGTACATCTCGCCGACCGTGAAAGTCGTGCCGTTTCTCACAGTGAACTTGTCGATGTTCATCTTCTTGATTAGCTCTTCGGTTGCGTTTCGCGCCTCTAACATCGACAACTTCTCGGTTACATAACTGTTGACGAACTCGTAGAAGCCCTTGTAATAATTCTTCCTATGCTTCTTCTTGTCCTTTCGCTTCTCCGCATGCGACAGACCTTTTCTCTTCGCATCCTTTCGGATCTGCTTCTCGTTCCAGCGTATGGACTTGTTGTAGAATCGCATAATTCGTTCGAATTCCCGCTTCAATTTAATAAACTCCCTCTGATTGCGTATTTCGAAGTCCGAACGAGCCCTGCTGTTGTTTCGTCGCGATTCCGCAAGATCCACGTGGAAGAAATTTTTGCTCATGGCGTTCAGCAAATCGTGCATGGTATTGTTGCTGGAGTTATTTGGTTGTCTGGCGTCCATGCGCTGCAGTTTTCTATATACCATCTTGAGAAACTCGATCATTCTCTCCTCTCGCAGACGGGATCTATTACCGTGACTTGCATGCGTTTTCCAAGCCGATGGATCGGATGCATTGGTATTGTTTTGATAGTTGACACCGGATGCTGGCTTCATTTCCGATTTATGCTTGGCATGTTCGCGACTTCGATTCATCTCCATATGTAGAAGCTTCTTGCCCACTTTACGGAAGAAATCAATGAATTTTCTGAAACATTAATATTCAATTTTTATTTTTAACCATGTTCTTACATTATTTCTTTATATATAATTTTTTTAATGTGTTAATTTTTAAAATAATTGTATTAACTATTAAAATGAAAATTATATTTAGGGAAATAATTTCAGAGAAATAATGTAAAAACACGCTTAAAAATAAAGAAAATAATTTTTTAAATTAATTAATCAATTTTTATAAGTATAAATAAATTTCTTCGTTTACTTTATGCGTATCAACATTCAACAAATTCGTCTAAGTTTTTATTATTATATAATTTACTGTAACTCACTGTAACTTCAAGGTAACGTTGTAATTCAGAGAAACATCGTCGTCCACTGATCTACGTCGTCTGCTCCATCTGAGTCTAGGATGTTGTCCAAGAATGCACTTAGGTAGCTCCTTGGGACTCCATGAACCGCCTATGCAAGTCGCGCCGGCTGGTCCTTCGTCGAGAACGTAACCTTTGTCGCAGTCGTACATAATCTGCTTGTTGTTGACAATCTTCCTGACATATGGTCTGTAATCGTAAACTCCCATATTGCCCACCAAGAAAACCTTGCCATTCTCGATGAAGCCGGGAAACGGGCAGAAAACTTGATTGCAATATGGTATATCGCCGACCCAATTGCCGTAGCGACACTCCACAGACTTGGAAGCGTTCAATGGACCGCCGCCAATCAACTCGAAGCCATCCTTGCACCTGAAGACCGCTTTCATGCCATGGTCCGTCTTCGGTGCTATCACCATCCCATTTTTCGGAATCTTCGGCATCTGCTTGCAACGGGCCGGCGAGCAATTAGGCACTATCGACCAAGTACCGTTGTTGCATAACACCGGCGTGCTGTTGGCGGCGAATTCGTAATCCTGAATGCAGCTAACCAGAAGTCTCTCACCGTGTTCCACCACCGTAACATTGTTAATGTGATTTCTGTCGTGGCTGGCTACGGTGACGTGACCGTATTCAATCTGTGGGACGACGCACGGCGCTAAGCATTGCGGTAAAGGATAACGCCATTTACCGTCTTTTTGACAGACGGAAGAAGTATTGCCTTCAAGTTTCATGTGATCCTTACAGCGGAAAATTATGCTGGCGCCCATACCTGTGCCTGTGATCGCGATAATTTATATAAAAAAAGAAAATATTTTGTAATAATGCCTACTCACATTTTAGTTTATATTATCTTAACAATCTTTAATTTTATATAAAACACACCGGCTTCAATGTTTTCGATCCAACCGTTATACAACACGCCAGGTAAGCCGCAATTGATTTCCTGGCAAGTAGGCGTCTTTCCAGTCCACTTTCTGTCAGCACCGCAACGTCTAGTTGCTGCGCCTACAACGGTATAACCGTACTTGCATTCGTACGATACGATGGAATTATACGCGTAGGAGGTGTAGACAGCCTTGCCGCTGACTGGATTATCCGGCTTCGGACACTGTACGGACGTGACCTACACGAAATATGTATTAAGCACGTTCAGGCACGTTTCCGGGAGATATATTTCGAATTTAACGTTTGATTCTTAATTTCTTACTTGAACGCATTGCGGCAACTCCTTCGGGATCCATGTTCCATCCGCCAGACACAATTTTTCCGCTTTACCAACTAATTCATAACCCTCCGAGCAATGATACGACACGCGACAATCATACGTGTAACATTCCCCTTAAAAGCAGTATCAGCTGATAAATATAAGTCTCTACCGGATCGTAACATTGAATATATTAATTAATTGTAATTATTTGAACTTACCAGAGTGCCATCCATTAGGAACGTCCGGAGGTATTCCACAGCTTTGAGGCTTGCAAGTGATATCTGGCCCGAACCAACTAGCAGTCTTCTCTATCATTAGACATTTTGCTCGCTTCACCCCCGTTGCCATGTATCCGTGATTGCAGAAATATTGCACCGTACTGTCAAGGTCGAAGGTCGTCTGTTCTGTTAGGGCGTTGTGGTGTGCGTCCTGAATTTTCGGCGGCTGCGAGCAGAAGGAGTTGGGGTCCCTCTTGCAGGCCGGAGTGGTCCCGGTCCAGTGACCGTCGGCGCGACAAGTTCTCTCAGATAGACCGACCATAAAGTAAACAGTATCGCAGGCGTAATGGACTCTATCCCCAAAGAATCTTCCGGTGACAGTCATTACGCCGTGATCAATTTCGGGCAACACCGGGCATTCACGCTCGGGCTTGATGCACGACATTCCGCAGGCTCCGTCGCATCTGCATTTCTTCTTCTTGCTCTTGCAATCCTCGTCGGTCGAGCATTTTCGCAGACACTTCTGATTTATCAACTCCGCCTGCTCCTCGTCCCTCGGGCACATGACAGAGGGTGAGTTTCGCGGATTCTTATAGATCCGGCCGTCATCGTCGACTTCGGGTCTCGACTGATAGCCTTCGTCGTCGTCATCATCATCGTCGTCATCATCCCAGTCATCATCATCGTCATCATCGTCATCGTCTACAGCTGCCTGTTGTCGAAGCTTCGATTCTGATGTGAGAAACTGAGCGCACAGCAGAAGTAACAGAACAATCGCGCTCGGTCTCATTCTGATTGAGGAAAAGATTTCTAGATTCCACGAAGATTCACTGGAGATACGCTAACAGTCAGACCACACGACGACACCTGGACACAGTGGGACGTTTACATGACCGCTTAACTATCCGAACTGACCATCTCACACGGAGACCTGCGAAGAGCCAATGCCGTGATCCCTCAGGTGCGCACGATCACCCATCGAAGTGTACCAGAAGTCCCGCTCAGAGCACCGCAGAAGTCATCTCGCGTTACGACCGGGATCGACGTTGTTTCTCTGGCGGGCGCGACTATTAATCGAGCTCGGCTCTTCGACGTCCGGGTGGATTAAGGACTCTCTTCGTCGGTCTCTCTTGCCGGAGTGCTCTTCCGCTCCTACTGGCTCCACCTCGCTTCCTCTCGTTCTATCCTGGAAGCTTTTTTCTTTATTGTACGGACTGCGGTCCCCCGCTGACGGGAATTCGCGAATATTCGCGCATCTCGCCGCGCGCATCCTGCCTGTTCAATACATCTCTTGATTCTCTCAGCTTCCAGCAGATGGCGAGGAGAAACGCGGTGATAAAAACGATGAAAAGCTGCGCAGCCACCCTGGGCACTCGTCTCTTCGTGGTAGGCTTCGAGATAAGGGCAGTTGTAAGCGAACGTTTGCGTTGTTTTTTTAATCAAATTTTAATTTCTATTTATTATAATCGAACATTTTTCATTGTAATTGACAAGAAAATGAATGTGGAGGTATAATATTGATGCTATGCAGCAAATTACTCTTTGAAATGTTATATTATAAAGCTTTATAAAGTTGTTTTTATTTGATTCTCGATCGTTATGGTCAAAGAAATCGTTAATCATTTCCAAAGCTTCTACTATTAGCTTCTAACAGTAGAAAAGTTTCTACTGTTGTAACCAACGGCTATCAAAAAAAATTGTGTGTTCTTCATTCTTGTTTCAACATAGATTGCTAAAAAAATTCCTCGAAAAGCGTGCATAAGAGGCAAGAAAGACGACATTCGAGAGAGAGGCTGAACCGTGCAAAATTGCAGCGTCGCAAAAATGGTACGGTGTCGTAAAAATTACAGCAGGGGAAGGTGTTAAAACGAATCATGGCACTTCCCGAGGTGTACAACTGTATACGCGAGCAAGCGTACCTGTGAGCCAATCCTAAGCTCCTCGAACACAACACAAGCAGCGGATACGAATTGTCTCTCTAAAAGCATTCGGCTTGACATCGCTTCTATTTTTTCGTGTAACGTGCAACAAGTGCACTTTGTCTGCTTAAATGTTGTCTGAGATCGTTAACCGCGATGACCTCATGATTTCACGAGGTTACGAGGACGTCTCACGGAAAAAATTTGCAATTTTCAATTTAACGTTCGGCGCCACAACGATCTGCATGACAAAGATAGCTGTTTGCCTATCTTAGTGTCGAGTAGCGAACGAGTGAAAAATGCGCGCGCGTCTCGTATGAGCGTGGGTAGTAGCCGGGGGATCGGTTTTCATCGGACAACGTCGAGCCTATCTCCGGCCTGTACTTGTTAGTCGTCACGCTACCAAGATAATCCTCGATCTCTAAGTCAAGCGTCATCGTTAGGGTAAGCCTATGTCTACCATTGTTTTCATAACGATAGCGATCAATCGGTATGGTTCAATGCCCCGACAACACTATAGGTGATCCTTGATTCAATCTCATGATCAATCGCGCTTCATCGTTCTTGCATCGTGTCTCCAGAATATCTTCATATGTCTTATTCAAATGAGACGTTTTTGGATAGCTTTCATCTGAGTGAAAAAAAAAACAGTCCGTTCAGAGGAGATTTGAATATTAAAAGTGTGACATGTGTGTGTATTGCAGTTATTTTATGTTGCAAAAATTTCTTGTAAAAAAATGATATATTTTTTATGTTCAGGACTTATAAAATATTTAAAAATGTAGGAAAATTTAATTAATGTATAAAACATATATACGTTTATAGCGGAAGCCATGAAACCATTAACATTTTTTTGAATTGATTACAATATTTTTTTTGTGTACTTATGTCGTTGCGATATAAAATGTCATCTGCGTTTTTAATAAGACTGGTTCTGAAGTCATTCAGTGTCAGGGCCATTTCTACGGCATCAGACCGGATTGACAGAGTGGCAGTAACTCGGTAGCTGAAAATGGGAGTGGCTGGAAGACAAGAGGACAGCTCGCTCAAAGACATCCTCGTGGCGCCTCTTCGCGGTTGTAAGGAATAAAGGAAAGCAGTGGGTCTCAATCATCGTGCGACCAATTAAAAAAAAAATACCGCTTTATTTTCTAATGTGATTAACTCTCGTAATATGTTATTTCTCTTGTGGAAGAGATTTAGCCAAAGGTACACAAATCAGAGTAATATCAAAAGGATTTTTTTAACGGTGCAACATATACATATCACTTGAGAGACCCTGTCGTTGAGTTTCTTCGAAGGATGTCTCTTTTCGTCCTCGGTGGGCGGCACACGCCTCGCCAGCTTTAGAAACTGGAACCGACTATCAAAGTGTCGGTTTACAGTTGCGTGACTACGGTACATGACATTGCATGCTTTTTTCACTTTACTTTCTCTCCGAAAAGCATCCGATTCTTTATACAATTTTTTGTATTCTATTAATTTTTTTTTTTTTATTTGATTCTCGATCGTTATGGTCAAAGAAATCGTTAATCATTTCCAAAGCTTCTACTATTAGCTTCTAACAGTAGAAAAGTTTCTACTGTTGTAACCAACGGCTATCAAAAAAAATTGTGTGTTCTTCATTCTTGTTTCAACATAGATTGCTAAAAAAATTCCTCGAAAAGCGTGCATAAGAGGCAAGAAAGACGACATTCGAGAGAGAGGCTGAACCGTGCAAAATTGCAGCGTCGCAAAAATGGTACGGTGTCGTAAAAATTACAGCAGGGGAAGGTGTTAAAACGAATCATGGCACTTCCCGAGGTGTACAACTGTATACGCGAGCAAGCGTACCTGTGAGCCAATCCTAAGCTCCTCGAACACAACACAAGCAGCGGATACGAATTGTCTCTCTAAAAGCATTCGGCTTGACATCGCTTCTATTTTTTCGTGTAACGTGCAACAAGTGCACTTTGTCTGCTTAAATGTTGTCTGAGATCGTTAACCGCGATGACCTCATGATTTCACGAGGTTACGAGGACGTCTCACGGAAAAAATTTGCAATTTTCAATTTAACGTTCGGCGCCACAACGATCTGCATGACAAAGATAGCTGTTTGCCTATCTTAGTGTCGAGTAGCGAACGAGTGAAAAATGCGCGCGCGTCTCGTATGAGCGTGGGTAGTAGCCGGGGGATCGGTTTTCATCGGACAACGTCGAGCCTATCTCCGGCCTGTACTTGTTAGTCGTCACGCTACCAAGATAATCCTCGATCTCTAAGTCAAGCGTCATCGTTAGGGTAAGCCTATGTCTACCATTGTTTTCATAACGATAGCGATCAATCGGTATGGTTCAATGCCCCGACAACACTATAGGTGATCCTTGATTCAATCTCATGATCAATCGCGCTTCATCGTTCTTGCATCGTGTCTCCAGAATATCTTCATATGTCTTATTCAAATGAGACGTTTTTGGATAGCTTTCATCTGAGTGAAAAAAAAAACAGTCCGTTCAGAGGAGATTTGAATATTAAAAGTGTGACATGTGTGTGTATTGCAGTTATTTTATGTTGCAAAAATTTCTTGTAAAAAAATGATATATTTTTTATGTTCAGGACTTATAAAATATTTAAAAATGTAGGAAAATTTAATTAATGTATAAAACATATATACGTTTATAGCGGAAGCCATGAAACCATTAACATTTTTTTGAATTGATTACAATATTTTTTTTGTGTACTTATGTCGTTGCGATATAAAATGTCATCTGCGTTTTTAATAAGACTGGTTCTGAAGTCATTCAGTGTCAGGGCCATTTCTACGGCATCAGACCGGATTGACAGAGTGGCAGTAACTCGGTAGCTGAAAATGGGAGTGGCTGGAAGACAAGAGGACAGCTCGCTCAAAGACATCCTCGTGGCGCCTCTTCGCGGTTGTAAGGAATAAAGGAAAGCAGTGGGTCTCAATCATCGTGCGACCAATTAAAAAAAAAATATTTTCTAATTTTCTAATGTGATTAACTCTCGTAATATGTTATTTCTCTTGTGGAAGAGATTTAGCCAAAGGTACACAAATCAGAGTAAGGATTTTTTTATTTTTTTAACGGTGCAACATATACATATCACTTGAGAGACCCTGTCGTTGAGTTTCTTCGAAGGATGTCTCTTTTCGTCCTCGGTGGGCGGCACACGCCTCGCCAGCTTTAGAAACTGGAACCGACTATCAAAGTGTCGGTTTACAGTTGCGTGACTACGGTACATGACATTGCATGCTTTTTTCACTTTACTTTCTCTCCGAAAAGCATCCGATTCTTTATACAATTTTTTGTATTCTATTAATTTTTTTTTTTTTTTTAGGATTGAGCAAGAGTCGCGAGTACGAGAAAACATGACTGGCAAAGTTTCTCGTTAAGCTTCTTCGGAAAGTTTAAGAAGGTCTAAGAAGTACAGCCGTAAATTCGCAGAATGTTTCACTTTTTTTCAATTAACTTTATTCCCACCGGATGTGGAAAAGTACGAAAAAAAAAAAAACACAGAAAAAGAAAACTCTCAACTCTCGGCAAAAGCTACGCGTTTCTGTTCATTCTGCAGCTCGTTACGCGACCATTATCCCCAGTCTCGCGAATCCATTATTCTCTCTTCAGCCTCTCGAAGGTTCTTTTGCGATTCGCGCACCGTCCACATGACGCTGCGGAATAATGGTTTACGGTCGTTCCCCGGGACCGACGAGAACCTCCGGACTCTGATCGCGCGCATACATACTCGTCGGCTCGCGCATAATCCGGTTGCAATCTTTCGCACTCAATCACGAAGCAAATGACGCCAGTTGGCGTTGGTCTAGAAGAGGCGAAATTACAGAATGAAATTGATTTAAGCAGACGCCTCCGGCGGTATGCAGAGAGTTTTGCGACCGGACGTTTCGGCTTATAGCCGATGATTGCCCGTCCTAGTGAGTTTCTACACATTCATCATACAACAAAGTAAAATTTCAAACAAGTAACAACTGTTTCAATAATTGATTACTCCGTCACTTTTATATTTTTCCTTTGCTTTATGCTTTCATTAATTATTGAAATTATTTAATATAAAAGTTGATTTTTTTAGATGTATATATCTATCTTATTATTGAGATTAAAATATAACATATTTTAAATTATTCCATCAAAATGTCAAACATAAACGTATTCCTAGTCAACGAGATTATGTATGTTTTTATCCCGTTAAAAGATTACTTCTTATCGCCTG